TTGCGAATGCAATTGTAGCCTACCGAACGATAGGTGTATGCATGAATGCTTTGGCTTTCAACACCCGCCTATATCACCTTTGTTTCTCAATGCACCAGTTAGGTTCATCCATCTGGAAGCACAACACAGTTCACGTGGTCAGTGCTTTCACACCTTAGGGCCTGTGATAGAAGACTGAAATGAGATTTGATCTGGATTTGCCTCTGTGAAGTTTGATCAAACGAGTGTGTAATCGTGTATATTATATTTTCACACACGTCTGAATATAGACTGTGTTCCAAACAAATCATGATCCAATAATCTTTATAAAAAGAAAAACGGTCCATGATTTGCATATGGGCGAAATACTGCCAGGTTGCTCAGGCCAAGGCAGGTGAATTTTCTTGAGGAATTCACAACCGAAGCCTTCGGCTAGCCANCGGACGGGGTCAAACGTCCAAGGGGCCCAATCGAGCCGGTGACCATTGCCACAACCAGGGAGTTGTGTGTGTGGTTCATACACCTCCTCTTAGTTTGAAATCAGGGTTTTTGGCCAACTTCCCTAGGTGAACTACCAGTGGTCCACCAACTCGGATATCGGCTTTTCGTCCTCTCACTTTGGTGTGTAAACACCTCTGTCTCACCCCTGTACATGCTCATTACGTGTGCACATTTAGCTACCCAGCTGACGTTTGAACTCAAAACCCCTCGCGCAGAAAGCACGGGGAATACCATTGTGGCCTCCAACTAACATCGAGGTTAACTGGAGTCAGCAATTCAAGTTTGTTCAGATTTCGTCTTCAGTGATAGTCAGTCGGTTCGCCGCATAGTGTATGATTGGCAGGATTAACTGAGAATTGTGTAAAGATGAATTCCATTGGACAGTCAGTTCTAATCAGTATTGTCTGTCGCACGCTTCTATGCGAAAGATGCCGGGAGTCAGCATACGCCCTAACAACTGTATTGTTCTAGGACAGCCAATCAGAACAAAGATAGCCTAAATCAAGTGATTGGTCACAACCGACAACCAATCAAGGCGGTTGGCAATGATCCAGTCAATCATTTTTTCGATAAGTATTCCCTTCTAGTCCATCGGGTCAAATTAAGCTGTTTGACACGTGAACCATCACGAATTAGCATAGTGGAAGCACATGCCGTTGATGCGATGAACTCCCAGTTCGATTCCCAGACAAATCAATTGATATACACCACTGGTGAACTCGAACAAGTATCTATTACTTCCTGAGTATTTGTTTGACTGGATGAACTGAGGATTTAACGTGGAGATGAGTTTTGAAGAATGAACAGTCCAAACAATAACACATATTCCATTCAAAAGTAACAGTGAGCTTAATGTTAACCTTCCTTTTAGTCACACAGTCAGTCCAGTTGTTTACATTTGCAATCATTTTGTATACCCCATGCGAAGTTACAGTCCACGGTGTTCTCATTCTTATTACAGACTGGTGGCGCGTGCACTATATGAAGCGAAAGCAACACATATCCCCTCAACCTTGGACACGAATTTTAAGGTATACTTATTTTTTGTTGGTTTTCTTCTATTGACTTTTTCACTAAACGGACATTTGCTACCGATTTCCATTTCAATTCATTTTTCAGTCCATTTCAAAGGCTATTATCACCATTGCATGTGGTCTGACTCATGCGAAGGAAATGCGCGATTTTTTTCTGGACATTGTGGAAAAAGTGAGTACAACAAATACCACTCTACCTTTGCCTGTCTCCGTTTAATAGTACAAGTGCACTGGGCTGTCTTGTCTGAACCTGTTATCACGTAGAGTACCGTATGAGGTTGTCCAGGGGCTGGATTATCACAGACCACATTCCTTCCCACCACCGGTAGGCTATCTAGACCCAACAAACTCATCCCCGAAATTTTCTCTGGCCAAACAAGGTGCACCATTCCGCCCAATCTCACCAATTATCTCGACTTTTATTGTGATTTGAGCTGCCCTCAAGTAAGGATTCATCTACAGTCCAAACGCTTCATCTCTGATAGACTGAAATGCTTACGTAGGCTGAAAGAGAAGGCTCATCGCTCAAGTGATAAACTGACTGTCAAATCTGTCAACTTTCATATCAGAAGCGAGATAGCCCATCTCAATCAATTGTTTGTTGACACCGTGCTAGGGGACAAATCCTGCCGTGAGCTATGAAACGAACTAAAATTGCTCTGCGGCCTTCCAACTTTACCTACTGCAGTCTCATGTGATATCAATGAGCTCAACAAATCTTTTGCTTCAGTGAATAATGTTGTGCAAACATTACCGAGTCCAAATACAACGTCACTTGCATTCCATCCTCCTGCAACTGTCACAACAGAGCAATTTTTAAAGGAGTTAAAAGCCGTCAACTTANACATGAATCCTTCGGTCCTGGTGGGTTGTTCCCAGTGGTCCTAAAAACACGTGCGAACTAACTCGCACAATTTGTTTCATTTATCTTCAATACATGTCTTTCAGAAGGTAGACTAGTTAACACATGGTGTGATGTTCGCATCACTCCAGTACCTAAGAGAGAAAAGGTTAAGTTTCGGCCTATCGCTTTATCTTCACTACTACTCAAGACTTTTGAGCGAATTATTATTAAGCGCCTATCTTCTGACTTTTATGATAAAAATCAGTTTTCTTATTCCAAGCGGTTACATGACTTATACATTCTGTTTCATCCACTATAGACCAAAAACACAAAATTGTTCACGTTTGTTTTTTGGACTACCCAGACACGTTTAACTCTGTTGACAGAAACATCCTATTGATGCTGTTACAGCAACATAATCTCCGGCCACATCTTTCGAATTGGACGCGTAACTGTTTTACCGACCGACGCCAATTCATGTCTGTGGTATCAAGTCACTGTCAGTGTAAACAAGGTGTAGTGCAGGGTGCAATCTTATCTCCTTTGATATTCAAAACCTGCGAGTCACCCAGACTCTCTTCGCATTTAAATATGCCGATGACATAGTAGTTGGTGGCGCATCTAACTACAATCCTTCAATCAACTTCCTTGAATCAGCCATAAGTTCTGAACGGTCTGATTGTGTTAACCTTTCTTTAAATCCAAACAGATGCATTTGTATCTTATTTTCCGTTAATCGTAGTCCAGCAACACTTCCCCGATCATCTATTCCAACCATCCTAATCAGTAACTTAAAAGTTGAAAGGTCACAACATTTCAAATACTTTGGATGTTTTCTGTCTGCAGACCTCAAAGGGTCCTATCACGTGGAACAAACGTTTCTCAAAGTTAGAAAGCTGACCTTTTACATTTCATGCCTGAGGGTACCTCGTACATCATTTCTGAATTTATTTTCTGGTGCATTTTGTCATTGGACCTACTGCTCTCCCGTTATCTTCCTCGGTCTACGGTCTACGGCTTTTATATTGATCAGACGCTCTCTGAAAAGCATCTCTAGATATGTATCTTATGAGGCGCTGGTGGGCTCAATTGTCAACCAACACCTTAATGCGTGTGACCGTCCGTGTGACTCAGTGTTGTCTGATGCATCACATCCTTTACACTCAAACCTCTCTCGCCCCATTTTAACTTCTGTCACCCGCAATAAATTTAAACCTTTATACACTCGCACCACAGCTTTTCACAATTCCGTTGTATCTTACCTTTCTCGTTTGTCGGTTTCCAATGGACGAATCGCAAACGAACTGATACAGTCTGATGTAAAGTTTCATACTGCAATTTTCTACCTTGGCTACGCTTTCTCAGTTCCTTCGCATTATTGTCTATATACCATTTATCATATCACTTAGGCGTTTTTAATAGCATGTATGCCAAAGCTAAGTGATAACATTTTTTCACTGCAAGTTCTGTCCACAATGGATGAATAAAGTGCATTCTCTACTTAACATAATTTCCCACCTGTTCTCCGCTGAGGATCAGTGACTGTAACCCACGTATGAGAGCTTTGTGGAACAGAAATGTCGTGCGAGCATCAAATACCTCGAAATCGGTTTCACTCAACTCTGCATTTCCGGAATTCGATGATGCGTCGGCGTCGATCGATGCCTATTTGTGTATAAAATCCTTATTGGCATAAGATTGTTCCCAAGTGAAACCGCTAAATTGAGGTCAGTGCATCCTCCTGTTGGCTTCTCGCCCAATTACTGGGCTGCTTCTTTCATATTCTTCACACAGAAACTTGTTTGAATAACCTACCGGATATTTTTCTTAAACTGTCTCGATAATCAAGTCCGTATCTTATCCTTGTGTAATACCATACATTGATTTTTGGTACATAAGATTATAGAGGCATAAATGAACAAACTGTCTCCCAAGGTGTGAAACTCACACCCTAAGTCATCAACAGTGCCTGTGTCAAAAACCGAATAGGCTAATCCAAACATCCACTGCCATAAATGAACAAAGTTCATTATGATCCGCTTTAATCGCCTTAATTAATAACTCCACACTAAATAGCGCCATCAGTAAAATATTTAAGGCATCTCTGCCTCCCGGTTTCGTTGCCGACTGCGCTGTTGCAAGCTTACCCTGTCCAACCNCAATATTCACTCCAGTTAATTGAACCAATGCGAGTTCTCGGATGGCCACCAAACGAGGTCAAACTGTTTTTCGACGCCTACGGCTCAGCTGCTTCCCATGTACCTCCTACCAAGTAAGTCTTTAAAAACTGTCATTGTCATCTTAGAATCAATCCACTTACTCATAGCAATAATTATCATTCTCAACAACAACTTGATCACTTGAACCCTTCTGTGTTGTTCAATGTGTTACATATACTTCCCGTTTGATACGATTCCGGTCAAGTGTTCAACAATGTGATCNGCCCTGGTGAGTTTGCATATTCAGTTAGTCAGTGTGAATGTTTCTTTCGCTTGTCAACAAAATCCTCGGGATGGTAGTATTTTGCATAGTGTGTTTATCTCAGTGTTTCCGGCTCGCAGTTACGATAAGTATTCATGTTGACTGTGGGCTGGCTATCGAAATCAATTCAGTCCGGACCGTGCTTGTAGACCATGTTGATTTCTACTAGTATCGTTTTATTCTTAATTTTCGAGATCGTTTCATCTTTGTAAATTATCTGGTATCCCGGTTGTTCGGTGTCTTTTTAATTCTTACTCTGAGGTGAAGCGAGCTTTTCGATACTGTCTGTTTAATTCGCCACAATACAGATCCATCCTTCCATGTTGTACCGCTGTGTAAACGTTATGACTGATCCTTGGACTGACAA